CATCTAAATAGTTAAAAATTCACTCGTCAGATCAAAAATAACCGAACACAAATTGTGTTATTAAAATGAAAAAAAGTTATATTTTTGTTCGAACAATAAACAACACACACACCTCTTTTCAATGTCACAAATAGGAAGAGAACGAGAGAAAAATATTATTTATTCCTCCATCAAAAATATGTTTTCTAAGAGTCATGCGTGTGACAAACGTCATCTTACAGAAAGTTCAACTTTCTTCAAGAAAAAAATACTATGATTTCGAGGTGATTATATAAACAAAAATTAATGACCAGATTTATTCAGTCTCAATACAGAAACCAAAGAGTTCCATGATATTTTTGGTTAAAATCAAAAAAATTAGCTTTCGCTCTTATTGAAAGCAAAATAACTTTTTTCATTTTAATAACACAATTTGTGTTCGGTTATTTTTGATCTGACGAGTGAATTTTTAACTATTTAGATGCAAGTAAGTATTAAGTTTTACAAATAGCACTCAAAAGCTTTATCATCAGCTCTTTAATCTAATTCTTTGTACTTCAAATGTAGGTACGATTTGGTTCTCCGTCTATTTATAAAGTTAGTCGACGTTGTCAAGTTATTCTTTGCCAATTATCTACTTCAAGTCTTCAAAAACCAGCTCCACTAGCTCCACCACCATCATCATTTCCTAAATTGGATACAGATTTTAATTCACATCGAATTGCTTACAGATATAGAGGTTTGGGAGAATTGCTTCGCGGATGGTTTGTCTATCGTTTATTTTCAATCAATATACTTGTTAACAATCAAGATAAAGTACGTGCCTATTTTTTGTATCAGTTCATTGTTTAGACGGGAATTTTATTTTATTTTAAACAGTTAGCCGAGTTTGGAAAACGTATATTAGGACGAAAGTTGTTTGGAACTATTTTTCAACTAACAGCTTTTGGCCATTTTGTCGGTGGAGAATCAACGAAAGACATCCAACCAATAATTAAAAACTTAGAAAAATATAGAGTAAAAGCAATACTTGATTATAGTATTGAAAGTGATGAAAAAAAAACACCACCGACAGAGTAAGTCATTTGTTTCTTTTGTTAAGCAAAGATGTTTCATTTTTCATTCAAAATTTTGGGAGAGAATAATGGTGATGTGAAACGCTTGTTTTCAGATCTTCAGCAACGTCTTCATCAGACAGCATTCAGTATCATACTGACCATAATGAGGAATTGTCATTTGATCAGAATAGTTCAAAGTTCATCGAATGTATAAATATTTCTCATAATGTATGCGGCATAAATAATCTTATCGCAATTAAAATAACGGCACTTGTACAACCGACCACATTGAAGAAATTTAGTTTTCTATTGGATAAATTAAAATATCATCCATCGTCGAGAAATGAATCGTTATTTCAATACATAAATGATACCAAACAACGGAGTAAAGATGAAATAAATTCAAAAACATCAAGTGTAATCGAACCGTTGGACAAAATACTGATCGATAACAATAATAAAGTAAGATTTAAACAGCGATCTAATTTGGTTATTAATGTTTTATTTTGCTAGACAATGTCAGAAACAAGTGTATTATCAACGAGTGAATTGAATGAACTCAAGAATTTAATAATCAGATTGAATGAGATTGCACAGGTCAGTTCAAATATTGATGTTTTATATACATCAATAATTTGTTTTAGGCAGGTGTAAAACAAAAGATATCTATTATGGTTGATGCCGAACAAACCTATTTTCAAACAGCCATTAATTTTTTAGCAACAGAAATGCAACGTTATTTTAATAAAATATCACCAATTGTTCACGGCACTTACCAGTGTTATTTGAAGGTATTAAAATTGAGATATAAAACAACATATGAGAATAATAAACATTCTTTTGTTTAAAAGGATACATTGAAAGTCATTACAACAGATTTAGAATTAGCGAAAAAAGAAGATTATATATTTGCGGCAAAACTCGTGCGAGGAGCTTATATGGAACAAGTAGGATGATTCGGTTATCTTATCATATACACACACACTGTATTCATTTGTACATTTGCGTATAATTCATAGGAAAGACGAAAAGCGCGTGAAGAAGCGTACGAAGATCCAACTAATCCAACGTTCGACGCCACAACGTCGATGTATTATGAATGTCTGAATAAAGTACTTGAAAGTTCATCGGAGCGAACAGCTGGACGTGTGAAAGTAATGATTGCGAGCCACAACGAGGATACAATTCGATATGCTCTTGGAAAGTACGAAACTTCACTCTCATCAAGTTTTTGTTCGCTATATAAAACGTTTTATGAACAATTAGTGTTTATTACGTTTAGAATGAAAGATATGAACATTCCTCCAAATGGCCAACTAATGTCATTTGCTTCGCTGTATGGTATGAGTGATTATACCTCATTTGCATTAGGTAGGCAGCCTCTACATCTTTTCTGTCTATTCATTCAGCAGATAACTATTATTTCTCTTTTTTTTAAAGCAAACTCTGGTTATCATTGTTACAAATATCTTCCCTACGGTCCACTCGATTCTTTATTGCCATATTTATTTCGTCGTGCACAAGAAAATCGTGGAGTATTCATAAAAGCTAGAAAAGATCGTATAATGCATTTAAAAGCGTTCCAAGACCGATTATTTGGTTCAAAACAATAATATATGTGCATGAATGTCTTGTACTTTTTGAAATAGAGCAAACTTTTGTACAGAAGGCACTCTCTCTGATCAGCGCAATACACTGACAACAAACAAATCTTCTCGATTTCTTCATAGATATTTTAGAACTCGAATCTCGAAAGTTTTCTTTATCCATAAACGTAATAAACAATAGATTGTACGACTTTTATCTGTTTTTTCTAACGCTCAATTTATTCATTCCGTTATTTATTGTATTTTTAATATGTGTATTTGGCCAAGTATAAACAACTGATATCTGAACACCACCATAAATTGTTTGTATTCATTCTGTTAATAATTATATAATGAGTAGATCAATAAGTTTAAATTATTGAGTGAAAAAGCTGACCTTCGATCTGTGAAATTCAACTTGTCGTGTTCACTGCTTAAAAATATGAGCTGTTTTCACCAATTCATTAAGAAAAACAAGTGTATCTTTTTTCAAAAAGGAGATAGTAGATGTAGGGCCAAGTGTCCTGCACTACCTCAGAGTTGGAACCCGTCTAAATATTAGAGACCGGGCCGGGCCGGCCGGTTCAAAACAGCAGACCGGACCGGACCAGCCGGCCCAAAAATCTTTTTAGACCGGTGAAAAAGCGGCAAAAGATCGGCCGATTTCCAAGAAATTTCGAGAACGGTGAAAAAGCGGCAAAAGACCGGCCGGTTTTTAAGAAATTTCTAGACCGCTGAAAAATCGAGAATCAGGATCGATCATTGTTAGAATAAAAGTTTGCTTTTTGATGTGTAAATTCTCTTCTTTAATTTATTTGATATTTAAGACAAATGACTTAACATACAAAAACCTATAATTAAAATAAGAACAAACCAGACTATTTTCTTCTTCTTTTCTCTTTTAGTCATTTTTCTCAGTCTTAGTCTTTGATAGTGATACGGAAAACATGATGGTAATAGCTATAGCTAGACGGTGAATTTCCGTTTCGTCGAAAGCTTAATTAATTTTCCTGTTTCGTCGAAAAAATTGGTAGAGTTTTTTTTCTAGTGTTCCTGTTTCGTCGAAAAAAATAAAACTTGAAGTAGAATATAGATTATTCTAATTAATAAGGTTTTTATATAATGAATTTTTCATTTCATGAAACATTGGTGTAAATGAGGTCAGTTGTGGTGCAGTTGTTTGTAAGGATATTATTTCTTCTCTATAAATTCTTTTTACCGGTTGTGGTGATTCTTCAATACGTCGTTTTAAATTCATTTTAAATTCTTCAACTTTACATTTATTTTCGTCACCACTGTGATTGTGCGGCTTCTTCATACCTGGTTGATCCGACCCATATTGTATAGCACGCCCAGGACACGAACGGTCTTCACATTTCCAATAAACGGTAGTATTCACAATTTTATTAATTAGAATAATCTATATTATACTTCAAGTTTTATTTTTCAACGAAACAGGAACAGTTAAAGCTTTATTTTCGACGAAACAGGAATACTAGAAAAAAAACTTTCGACGAAACAGGAATATCAATTAAGCTTTCGACGAAACGGGAACTAACCAGCTAGACTAGGGATTTAATCCTTTTCCGTATCACTATCAAAGGATGACTAAGAAACAAAAGAAGAAGAAAACAGTCTGGTTTGTTCTTACTTTAATTATAGGCTTTTGTATGTTAAGTCATTTGTCTTAAATTTAATGTCTGAAGAACAAGACCTGTTTTTTCTTCAAACTTGTTCAACAGGTCAGTTTTCTTGAACGAAGTCGCAAGAAAGTCCTTAAAGTTATATACTGATTTGGTGCTATAAGCATTTTTGGTTATAAATGTAATACATCCAGAACACTGTCGGACGATGTCTATAAATGCATCACGCCGCAGTTTTTGCGTAGCTCACTTACATTGGGCAGATAATATGTAGTGCGTTCAAAAGGTTCCGGGACTGATTTTATTTTACAAAAACGAAAAGTGTTGAAATTCAGGGTTTGTTACCACTTTGTAGTTCATACAGCCCGTAACCTATAGACATTGCGAGTTCTGGTTGATTAGACATTTATGTGTTATAATAATCTTTTTTAGACGACATTATAACCGGTGGTTCAGATTAAATAGCACGCTCCGTATTTTGTTCATAACTTTTTTTTCTTTCGTTCGAAAGGACCAGTCTTTTGTGCAAACGATTTGTCTTGAAATTCTCTATAAAAAATACATTGAATTTTCTGCTGCAAAATGTAAAAGTGGAACGCTATACGAATAATAGTGAGAAGCTCTAAAACTCCACATCTGTAACGGAGAAAGCGGTTTCATTAATTGGTCTGCTGAGCTGTTAAAAAATTGAAATAGCCATTTTGTAGCCCTTGAAAAACTCTATATTCTACATATGATTAGAAGTTTTTTGCGCAAAATTAATTGCATGAGAAGTTTTTCAGTTTTACTCGTTATATCAAAAAATCATTATTTCAGATAGCAGTTTCGCACCATTGTGTAAAGCCCTCATAACTCTTCCGGAATTTAACATTTTTGGGTCCAGATCTTTTTATTTTGAAACAAAATGATATACTTATTATATCGAAATGCAAAAAGTTCAATGACTTCTTTCTTTCAATATGCTGAGCGAAAAGATCAAATTTTTCTCATTTTCCGTTGAATTTCAACAGAGTGCCTTTTTGTATCGTAAAATTAAGTTTGGACGAAATCTATCATATACTATGAGAAAGAGCACACTTAATAGCATCAGAAAACTTATTGTGAATTGTCTTCCATGAAATAATTTTGATGCATTAGCAGACGTTAGAAAATGTTTTTTCACAAAAACTGTGTTTGCTTCAATTTAACCCAATGGGTTAAATTTACAAATATAGCGCGTGACAACGTTTCTTCAGAGAAAGCACGGGTTAGATTGCTTGTAACCAGCGATGACTCATAAAACTTTTCAAGCGTTAAAACGCGTTTAAACAGTGATTTAGCAGTCGTTTTGTTTTGCATAATCAAATGATATATAAAAACCATGCCATCCCATACGTATTCAATAGCAATGAACTCGTGCGCGCTCATCAGATTAATTTTTGTTTTTAACGCATGTTAACGTACGTTAGAGGATTCAAATTATTTCATGGGCTTGTTATCTGCTTAATTACTTTAAAAGAAAACTGGAATTCTCTGGTTATGAACAAAATACGGAGCGTGCTATTTAATCTGAACCACCGGTTATAATGTGGTCTAAAAAAGATTATTATAACACATAAATGTCTAATCAACCAGAACTCGTAATGTCTATAGATTAAGGACTGTATGAACTACAAAGTTTTCGGTAAAATAAAATCAGTCTGAGAACTTTTTGAACGCATTATGTATATTGAATGTTGAATTGTAATTAAAGTTTATTTTATACTTTCGACAAGCTTTCTAGGGAATTGTATACATTCTTCAGTAAATCCTCAGCTAATTGTAAATATTCATTAGTCTTGTACTTCTTCTATAATAACATAACACTTATCAATTATTTAGATAACAAAAGAATCTAAATGTATACCATTTTTTTTTCTAGACAGCTCGATGCTGGTGCCATATGCGATATTCATGGTTTTTATTTTTTAACATGAAGATGTTTTATTTCAGCTTGGATATATCTTATGCTTTGTTTTCTTCCATTGTTCGATCTTGAACAGTTGCTTGCAATCTCAAAGAATAATACTGAAGTATTTTTGATGATATGATTTATACAGGTACTGCTACACACAAAGTATTAGTCACATTACAAGCAGCTGTTTTTATTTATTTCGCATGAATCATCGTTTTTATTTCTGTCAAATGCGTGGTTTCAGAACATTATCATCATTATTCAACGCGTATGGTCGTGCGGATTGGTGGTTGCCTATTAATCAATCATATTAATGCTGCAATAAGTAATAGTTATATTGGATTAGCACGGATTTTATACAGAAGTGAAATGAATGCAGAATACATGCCGTATAAGCATTGTAAGCTACATGTAGAATTCAAGCGCAAGAAACGACAACAATTGCGTAATTCGGCACAGAAAACAGTATCATTACTTAAAAAACAGTTTGAGACTAATATTTGACCTAAGCATTACTTAAATCTCGACGTCTTTCGAAAGTGAAAAATTCACTGAGATCAATCATAAATAATACGTCGGTACTAAGGAAAGAAAATGTATACACATAATGACGAACGAAGAAGAAAGAAAAAAGTTTTGGTTCGTGTGAGTAATGCACACATTAGATTCAAAGGTGCTAAAAGAGTTTAAAAATGAGTATTATGAATGGGCGTGTCTCAAAAGCGATACTTTTTTTGCAAACTCATTCAGTTGTTTAAGTCTCTCTGATGTTGTTTGATTTTACAAAGTCAATTAGAACGAATTTGTATCACTTTTGAGACGCTTCGATCATGAATATATATATCCTTTCACATCTGAAAATACTTCTATTATTGCCACAGTTGAATTAACCACTGCATTGGAATGCAAAATTTGTCGTTTTATATCGATCCAACGTTAGGTTATTTATTATCTTACACTAGAAAAAAATTTGTCTTTTAGGCTGATGTTACATTCTTTTTATAAACCTATTACATCAGTGTCCCTTGGAAGGGACCCGCGGGTGTAAAGGGATAGATTGTGTAAAGCCTTGTGCAAATTAATCTATGCTAGAATTCAAAGTGATCCAAATTTTGTTGATCAATGAATAATTCAAAGTTTTGTTAAAATTTATAACAATAATATAATAAATATAATATTTTTGTACTATTATCGCTATCACGTTGTGACTCAAGAACAATAACTAAGTTTCATTATCCTAATTTTCACATGTGTACAGATGTGATTACAAATTTTGATAAATACAACAAATATATACATTTCATTGGTAGATGTGCGCATTGCATTGCTGACAAACTATAATTTCATAACAGTACGGGATTTTGTCAGATTCAAGAGTATAATAATCAAAATAATCACTATTTAAGCCTTAATTTCGTCTGGTAGGAAAATTGTGTCGAAAAAAAGAATGAATAAGACAGAAACCATAGGTGACGTGTGTACGAAGTAATGTGTATAAATATAGAAAAAAAATGAATAAAAAATTTACAAACTAAAATCCTTTGTTTAACAGTCAAAAACATATAAAGTTTAAATATATATATACAGAAAAGATAATAAACACGGTGGCTAGAAAGAAGGTTACGAAGTTCTATTTTGAGAAACAGTTGTATAGAGTCCGACAAAAAAAAGGACGTGAATAATTTATACACGTGAGCTAAATAAAAGAATAGTTCTTCTATAATAATTCATTCGAGAATAGAACGAGAGATTATGTAAAGTTTCGCCTTTCAATGTGCAAAGAATGAAAAGAGCAACATATTTGTAAGAACAAAAGAATGTATAGGAAACATTTTATCGCGTTTGATACTGTTCAGTTATATAATCACGGGGCTATAGAATACACAAAGTTTAGAGCTAGATACTATTCGGTTTTAGTTCTGCACTACCGTCTGGTTGCCGTTCATACTCTGGAAATGCATTGGCTGCATTTAATGGCTGACTTTGATCCGATTTATGAGACGATGAAGAACCTAAAATAATCATATTTAGAAGAGATAGAGACTTAAAATCAAACCTTACCTGTATGGGTGTTGTATCGACCATATGTTTTAGCCCTATTCGATCTCAAATATTTCATAATAACAACTGTACCAATGCCAATAATCAGTAATACGGCGAGTATTGGTAGCACGGTAGCCAAAGCGACTGTTTTGGATCTGTTTACTTTTACAGCTTTTGCTGAACGTCCATCAATACGATAGCGTTGTTCAGCACTATATTCTCTATGAAACGTGAAAGACAATAGAAATTATAATAAAATTGTTGCATTCTTCATTTACTTACTGTGTATTACAGCAATATTGACGATTTTTTGGACCGCAACAAAATATGGCATTCGAATCAGTATCCGATAATGGACAAGGAAAAGATCCATAAGTAAAACCATCAAAATTATCTGAATTTATACAAGCCGATCCACGCCCTTTTGAAGCTAGAAAGCATCTTTTATAGTGACATTGTCATATGAATATTGATCACTCAACTCACTCGCATATTTTGGATAAGTTTTTTCTCCTTTGCTAAGAAAAGTTTTTGCCAATTTTGACATTATTAATTGGCCACCAGTTGAACCAACATTTTTTGTTTTGTCCATTAAACTAAAAAAGTTTCAATTTCAAATAAATTAAGTAATATACCATGTCGAACATAAGTCGTTACCTCATTGGACCTTGACTATCACCCACGAAGTATCCATTACTCAAAAGCCATTTCTCGTTATTAGTATTAAACCACCCATTTGAAACCAATGGTGATGGTTGAAAATTGCCAGATCGATAGATTCCTTTACTTTTTGCAAACACATTCCCTCCCTTGTTATCGACGTTTGAAGGTTGATAGCCTGGATTCGATCGATCATTTTGAGGAGGTGGTTGTTGTTGTAGAGGAAAATTTTGTGAATCAGTATAAATAGGTGGAACTCGTTGTTGTTGTTGTTGATTGTTCGTTTGTATACCATCACTTGGATAGTTTTGCTGCAATTGTTGTGATTGTTGTTTATTTACAGGATTTTGAGGGAAGTTCTGAACGTTTGGATTAAAATTCGGCACTTGTTGATTGTTTATCACTTTTGGAACTTGTTGTTGATTAGCATTCAATGGTTCTTGTTGATTAATAAGTCGTGATTGCGAGGGACCAGGAAATTGTTGTTGCTGCTGTTGTTGACCTTGTTGGGGGTAATTTTGGTAGCTAGGTAGTTGCTGTTGATTAATTCGTTGTTGAGGATCTGGTTGAAAATTACCATCTCTTGATAATTGTTGCTTCTGTTGGGGACGACGATCAGTGGGCAGACTAAAAGAGAGCTAAATGCAATGAACAATTATGCTCGAAGTGAATATCGTTTTTTAGTGACATACTTAAGGTATTGGTCCTGTTGAACAGGTCCAAAATTCTGAGGAGGATTATTAAGAGAAGACTGTTGCTGTTGATTATTGTATATTGGAGGCTGTTGTTGATTATAATTCTGAAGAGGATTATTAAGAGAAGCCTGTTGCAGTTGATTATTGTATATTGGAGGCTGTTGTTGATTATTATTGTCAAAATATTGTTGCTTCTGATTATCATAATTTATATTACTGATGTAACCAGATGGCGGTGGATATTGTTGGTCAACTATATTTTTATTATTATTTGATCCTTGAAACACTGAACCCGTGCCCGGTTTAAAATTTGGATTTATCAGTCCATCGTTTGCAACTTGACGACGATAACGAATTGCGTTTAGCTCGCCTGAAATAGAGGTCAACATCGTTTAACGTTTGATAAGACAAGAATTACTGATTCTCAAAAGTTTATTATAAAGTTGCTAGAAGATTTTTTTGACTTACTCACCTGTCAAACAAAAAGTTAAAACAAATGAAATGAAAACGTGATAGAACATTTTGTTTATTGTTTTAATATCGTTCGAAAAATAGTTTTATTCTTATAAAATCACTATCATAGCCCTGACCTTTACGAAGCAGGTTTTTTTTATTTACTTCTTCAGTATACGTTCACTAGTACCCGTAATGATCATTTTGTCTTTTTTTCTTTTTTTTCTTCTTTTAATAACTCTGATTTTTTTTCTTTCTTTTTCAATCTTTTTTCATTTGTATTATGATTATTATGTCATTTTCTTCTCAAGTTTTTTTTTCTTCTTCTTATTCTGTCAAACTGACGACGGCCGAAGTATAACCTTCTCATTTTTCTTCCTTCGTGCAAAAAATTTATTATTGTTAATTTCGCCAATATAAAGTTTTTATTTTTTTTTTTATTTTCACCAAACCAAAAAAAAACATTTTTTTTTTAATGTACAATTCAGATGACTAATAGGAAAATAAATATTAACTTAACAAGAATGTTGTAAAAAAAATTCTCATTCCAACTATGTACAATGAATACAAGTACAACAAGTGGTATGCTGTCAAACAAAGAGAAAAAAACTGAATTTTTACTACGTTTCTATTGTTCAATGTATAGTTTGGATGAATAATTAAAAATTTTAATCAAACTTCATACTGTTTGATGACCAGCTTTGAGTTTATTGGCTGAAGTGGTAAATACTTATTGAGCTAAGAAGTATTAACAGAAGGTCGACAGATAAATTTTTCTTAAAAAATTTATATCGTTAACTAGTAAGAATAAACTAACTAAATTGGTAAACTATATTTCTTCACATACAGAAAAATTAAACAGGGTATTTTTTACGCTAGATCGATTGACTGTACATTTATCATAATTATATTGAAACAAATTTACATTGAAAAAAAGGTGAGCCACTCTAACACGATATGTTTAAATTAATGAAAGAGAAATAAAGAAAATAAATCGAATAGACAGAACTTCTCCGTTACATTTACATCAAAACAGGATATCAGACTCGGTGGAGTAAATGTTCTATATAGAAAATAAGATTATTTAACCAGAATCTTATTGATAATTAACTAGAAAACTAAGTTGTTAGTAACTACTTACATGTACTTAACATTAAACTAAGATATTAGCAGTTTGTCAGCCAAGTGCTACAACCACCGTTTTAGGACATAGAAACTTGGGACAATCTCTGACGTTGTAGTGTTCCAGCAACAGATTCTTAGATCATATTGCTACAGCAAACTAATTCTAAACTTATAGAGAAATAAAGAAAGAAAAGAATGCTTGTGGGTCAAGTGTTCGTGACTATCTGGCACACAGAAAATGAACATCAGAAACAATGCAAAAATCACAATAACAAACCGTAATTTCGCCAGTATACAAAATGCCTTCAAACTCGAAAGACGTAAGGTTTAAGTCAAACTATGATCTAAGCGAAGAATATCGTACAAAGAGCCTAGAAGTTTACAAAGTATTTTTTTTTACCAAGAGTACAACTTCATGCAAACGAAATACAAGTCAAACACTAGCATCACAGAGTACCAAATCGCAACACAATTGCGATATTTGAGATTATATATTTGATACACCAAACGCGTTTGAAAGCGTTCTAATCTGAATAGACGCTTGAACGCGGTTTTGAAAAGGTTCGAACACCGTTCGAAACCGTTTATATTGTTGAACAGCTTGACCCGCTTCAGATGTTTAATAGTCTAAAGTTATTTGAGGATTTGAACAGTATGTTAAAAAACGAAAAATAATCGTACTGTTGCGCACTGGCATTCTATGCTCGTTCATACATACGACGGAAAACAGAAACAAAAAAGTTGTTATTTCATTAAAGATCTAGATGTTTGTGTTTATCGTCAAACAACCTCACATAGTACACAATATGACATAAAGATACATCAATCTTTGTCGAGCACCAATAGTTCAATGGTACGTATCTCGCTCTCCCTTCTCCTCAGAAGTAACAAAAGAGGACCAGAAGTAATCTTGAAGGGGATACAGCCAGTCATATCGATATTGGCACAAAACATTCGTTTTGGGGGAAATTTTCATAAACGCATTTAAAACGCTTCAAATGTTTCATTTCTTGGCCGTTTTTAAGAGTTTGATCAACAAAATGCGTTTGAACGCTACTGTCCAGGTAAACGCATTCGAACGCGTTTGTGTATAAGCGAAAAAAAAGCGTTTGAACGCCACAATGTTTTATTTTTAAACCGTTTAAACGCGTTTGGCTTGCGTTTATGCACGCCATTTGTAAACGCGTTGTTTAGATTATAAATTATTGCATGGGAAGTTGTATGAAATTTTGCCTGGACTACCTCAATGTGGTGTTCTATCTTCTATTTTGAATAATCTTTTTTCAGTACAATAGAAATTTACTGCTTTATCTTCATTTTCGAGCTTTCGAATTCATCTAGACTCATGATGAGCAAAAAAATGCATAGTGAGATGTGAAAGGTTTAATGATATCGGATATTGTTATACAATTAATCATAATGAATTTCAAAGTAAATTTCAACATAATTAAAAGTATTAAACAAATAAGTCAACGAACACTACAACATGAAAAATATTTAGTAAATAGACACAGTCTACATGCGTATAATGATTTATGACATTGAAGTTCGGTAAGTGAGAAAGATAGTTTAAACGGTAAAGCAGAAAAACGAACAGATAGTTTAAGACGTAGTGAACGTATACGTAAAAGAAGTTTAGCGCAAGTACCAACACAATACTTCGTCAATTGAACCACTTTCGGACTTAAAATCTAAATCGACTTTAAGTAAATGTGTTATTTATCCAGATCATGCAATTGATTTTGATGATATTAGAATGTTAGCTCACAATAATAAAAATTATCGTTTATTAGTGCACAAGTCTTTGATTACACGTGAAAATGCTGCTCAATTTAATAGTTCTGACAGATCAGTGCCACTATTTATATATCCATAGGGATTCTATCAAACAACTATGATTAAAATGAAATAATTATATCGCTCATTTTTTTCTAAGCGTTAGAATTTTCTGTTATTTAGTTATTTCTTTTTCTTCACTATTCATCATAATAGGTCTTTTTTGTTAATTCTGATTATTGCCTGACGAACTCTTTTCATAAATACAAATCTCGAGTAAAAGTAACATCTTTCTAGATACATTATTTATCATAAAACTAGATGGTTCGAAAGTTCAAAAATGAACATAAAACAATAAGTTTTAATGATTACATATACCATTTTGTACATCCAACAGACAATCCGATGTTGAGGGAGATCCTTCTCAGAAAAATACTTATCCATATTGCAACCGATTTGAATCAAAATATCAGAAGTTGTAGCTGCTTAGAAGAAAGGCTACTCTTTGAATTGCAGCTCGATGTGTCGAATTATTCAGGGGTTATAGGATTTTGAAGGAATAAAATTAGATGGATTATTTGAAGCGTATATTTGCCTTAGAATTGATAAGAGTTAAACAACTCGGATTTGTTTTAAACGAAAATAGACACTTTTCTCTAAAAGTCATTGGATGATTTTTGAATTTCAGTTCCATAACTGGTTGGCACATGGTTTAAGTCAAAACTCAGAAAACGCTTTTGTTGTTTGTTAATGGTATGCAGTTTTCTAAGCAGAAAAACAAAAATCGCTTCGGATGATTTTTAAATCTATATTCTATCTTTCAAATAAACAAACAAAAAATTTCGCTGTACTTCGCTGCGCCGTTCTTTTTTACCTCGAAAAATCAAAGTTGTCCAAAACACCTAAAACGCACATCAATCGATTCAGTTTTTGATGCTGATTCCAAATATATTATTAGTTTTACAAAAAAAATGGAAGTTTAGCGGCAAAGTTCTTATTTGAAATATAAAAATGGAAACTAATCACAGTCACGTTTGGAAATCAGACGTTAACAGTGTTCTTTTAGAAAAAAAGGTGCGTCGGATAGAGAATGGTCTAATGTTCATGAATAGCTCAACTTTTTCTCGATGTCATTGCTAATTAAGCTTCCAACTTAATTACCAAACTAATATTGACAGGAAAAAGGCTTTGAAAATTGACAATTATTACTTTTTACGATGTCAATTTTACCATTCATACTTCAATATTATCATACGTCAATATTACCATTCATACAACGGTATAAAAATCTGTCTTTGGGAACCTATGGAAACATTTTTCTCTTTATTCTGTGTGATTTGCACAGAGTGGTTAGTTCGTATATATCGAAAAAAATGACTTGTGTTTTGATTTCACTAATTTCTCATTAAGTAATTAAGGGTAAAGCTGATTTACTGGAAATTCATGAGGTTGGATAAAGCTTGAAATTCTCTATAAGATAGTTATAATTACCCGGCGAAGTACGTTGACTGGTTATAATTATCCCAAATGGAGTAATTATAACCAGTTAAGAGTAACGCACTGGAAATTGAATGGTACTAATTAACGGTAATGAATTTTCAGACAATTTTTACATCAGTGCATAGTTGAGAGTCATATGTATCTACCTGTGTAGTCCCCACTTTTCTCCGACTAAAAATGGCTTAACAATTCATAAAATAGTGAGAAAAAGTTTGTGCCTGGTTATAATTATCCCAGCCTACTCTATAGATGTTTTTTGAATATCTCGAAAACGGAAAGAGCTAGAGGGGTGCGGCTGTCACCAATAGAAAGAGAAGCTTATGCAGCATCTTTCTGAAAGTGGAAAGTGTTTCGGATAGATTTTTGAATAAATTTTTGGAAAACTGCTACATAACTTGAAAATTTAAAATAGCAAACTAATTATATTTATTTATTTATCAGTACATAGAAAGAAGTGTTTTGTCCAAAATGAGATCTAAGCAAGATCTTGAAAACCAGTGGTTTGGCCAGAATTCAGGTTTTCGCTGAAGTCCCAGGACTCCTACTGCTTTGGGTTTGAGCATCTCAAAAAACATATGAACCACAAGCTATCGATCATCCTGTATCTCGTGACAATGTTTGTCTTATTCCCAGAGTTGAAGGAAGCTCAAACCTGGACCCTTCTTCAATAATAACTCGGCTATTTCTAATTTAATTGTGCTTCAAACTATAAGAAAATACTTAAGTCTGATAGTCAGAAACGGGTACGTTACTCAATTTTAACTATTTTTATCTCTGCTTTTTCAGGAGATCTCTGGAAATTCCATTCTTTGATATAACTCCCAACTGTCTTTTTTCAGATCGAGATATCAAGAGTACCTCGTTTCAAGACTTTTCTCATAGTTTGAAGCACGTTGATTAAACACAAAGACAATAATGTGAAGAAAAAAATTTGATCTACAAATCCACATATTCAAAACTTTCTAAGGTGGAAACTTATCTTATGAGAAGCCCTGCCATCATCAATCAATATCTTGTCTTTTATTTTCGATTTTCTTTTATCATGTCCGTCCTGCTACTGTATCTTGTAGCCATTAAAGTGGAAGATGTTCGTTGATGTATCTAGGAAAAAATTCAACTTTTCTTTTGTTAATTAATGATTCTATCACAATCTTTCTTTTTTATTTAACGATTCAAATATACAAATACCACGATATGAGTTGATAACAAATTATGATTTATACAACATACTAAAAAATAAAAAACAAACTGATTCAAAAATATTAGAATATTAACTTTGTTGTTGAGAAGTGCATATCTATCTATTTTCTCGAATCTTTTTTTCTAAACTGACAAAATTCATTATTAGTAACGTTCAAATAAATTTATTTTATTCAATTTTTTATGCTCTTTCGATTAATGCATTTAAACGTCTTCTAACATACTTATTCTAAACTCTATCCTACTATTTTAGATACTTTCAATGTATTTTTAGTCTGGCATGCATCTGATAATCTCGCCTTTGCAACATGAAAGTTTCAAATATTTAAAAAGTATTTTATGTGGAGGAAACCGAAAAATTCACAAGTAGTTGGATATCTCTGATCATTCAACAATTTACTGATTTTTAATAATCTATTTATAGAACCAAAAATAATTGAGATTCTTTGCTAAGAAAAAAATTGTGTAGAAATTAAAAACAAAATCAATACATAGGATGAATAGATAACTTTAGTATCTATTATAAATGCTAGCAAACATTTCACCGAAATTGAACATTAAAAAAACAGCTATTTCAAAACAAGTATTAACAAAAAAGAGATGCTTCTACTTTGAATATTTTACAAATCTGAAAACAAAAATTGAAATATTTCTTTTTCAAATAGAAGAAGTCGTTTATCAAACACAAATATAACTATAAGTGAGAGAAAAGAAATAATCAGTGTTGAATACGCTAACCAAACAACAACAAAAAGACAAGCAGCAACAAAAGATACAAAAAATTTTTAATAAAAAATATATAACGTCTTTGTCAAAAATGAGAAAACGAAAATAACAGAATTATTGCAGATAAAAAGCCTCACAAATAGTTTTATTTGTCAGAAACGAGGAACGCAAACTCATCGAGCTTTAATTTTTCTAATATGTTAAGGTAAAAAAAAGATTATGAGTGGCCAGTTCAGTTTACTATAGAAGTTTAGAGCGTCTTTTTCTGAGATACACAAACTGAATGCCATTACCGGCTCATATGCCAGACTTGACAACGTAATCTAATAGAAGAAAAAGTCCTCATTTTACAAACGATATGTGCATTTTCTTTATCCAATATGTGTCAAACGACAGAATGTGAAAAAATAACAAAAAATGAGAAAAAATCTACAACAACAAATATAAATCAGTTGGTTACTTTTGCTGATAATGTGCCATTCAGTGTAGTTTGCTCTTTAATAGTGAGTGCGTGTTGATTAATAACACTTAAAATTTGTTTTCGTTTTGAATTCATGATCTCTTTATCGCACCAATTTGTTGGCACTTCGGCTGATGTAAAATTTATCAATGGATATTTAAAAAAACATTCAGCATATTGTAAAACATATAAACCACAATCATAAAAATTTGGTTGTTGTGGTACATGTGATATTATGCCCTTAATCATTTCAACATTATAATGCTTTTTTTGTGATGGTGATTTTAATAATCTTAATTTTTTATGTTCATATTCTAACATGAGAAATTCACGTAATGTGGCAATAACACATGCTTTTGAGCCAACTTTTAATGAATCAAAGATGATAATACACGGACGTTTTACTGATGTTGTTGAAATTGAATTCGAATCTCCAGTACGATTATTATTATTATTATTAATTGTTGTCATCGAGTTTTCATCCTCAGACAATGATGTATCAGTTTGTACTTCATCGGTATCGTCAATGACATCAATTCTATTGCGTTCATTTGATAACGTTGTAATATGGTCATGACCATCTTCGCCGTTCGTCTTCGTAGAAGCTGATTGCATAGACTGAACTAAAAAGGAAAGAAGTCAAAAATACAACAGAAGAGCCTATTGCACTAGTCGCATACTAGAATTATTTGGAATGAAAAATGATGTATTTGGTTTTGACATTGCAGCTTGTGGTGTTGATAACATCGATGAATTATCATTAACTACTAATAAATCAGTATCTGTTTCAACACTATTATGAAAACAAATAATTGCCAAATACCAATGAGTGTATTGATTAATAGGAATAATCAAAAATGTTTTTTTAAATATATCAACATGCCGTAACCAACGTTTAACACGATTATAACGTCGAATAGATGCGCTAGAGAAAAAAAACATTAATAAACAAATTCATATTGTCTAAACTAACTTGTAATTATTTCAACTTACGGCACACTAGAATCGTCACCATTACTTTTTCGTGTTAAACGTGTGTAAAAAAATGAATTAAACAAATATGTTCGTCTTCGATCTTCACGAGTTAATATTTCATAGTAGATGTATCTAAAATGCAGATCAACTCGATCATCACTGTACCATTTCTAACTGTCAACTTGTGAATAGCTTATTTCCTGACGGGTAGACGTTCTAACTCTTTAACATATCTTTTAAAAGATTTGTAATAGTTATAAGATGAAAGAAAAAAACATACTGTAAATAAAAATCAATAATTGTATCGTTTAAAAATTCTCCTTCTGTTAAACACATTAAATCATCACGTGTTAAATCAAAACGTATTCGATTGTGATTTAGAAAAACAGTTTTTGGTATTCTAAATACGAAAGATAACAATCATAGAGAAGTATCAGTTGATATGATGCTAACACAACATACAAATCTGCTGGACTAATAGTCGACAATTGTGTTGGTGGGGATGATGATGAAGAAGATGATGGATTACCAAAACGAGATAAATTATAAACTTCTTGACTTTTCAATCCAACGATATAGCATATACTCATTCTTGGTGATCGTGCTTTTAAATAATGATAAATAGCTGGTATATTATTCTTTTCAACATCAGACGATATCGGTTTTAATTGTAAAAGAACATGACGTCTTCTTTCATCTAGAATAGAAGTAGACGTTCGTGATCACTTAAACAAATATAACATCAAATATTCTTACCTTTTGACATTGGATCAAATGCTAAACCTTCTTCATCGGCAGATGGTATAAACTGTTCAAACAAATCGGCAAATTCTTTTCGAACCTGTATTAATGCAGCAGGTGGACGTGATTCATAAAAGTAAACAAATCGTACAACATCTGAATAGGCTAATTTAATATTTAAATTTTCTAGTGAACGTCCTTTCGACTGTCCTAAAGAAAGTGTTTTCATTTGTTTGTTTTTTAATACGATGACTAAAGACGTTATTTTACCTTTTAATTTCATTTCTATTTCTGTTTCTTTTAGAAAAACCGATTGTTTTTCCACTTGAAATTCAATTATACCAAATCTGACATTTATACATTGAATTACCATCGGCTTCTGTAAAACATTAGTCCAATTTGATAGCAATTCGGGTATTTGCAAAATATCTTGCGATTGAATTGACAGCCAGTCAGATAGATCATCATTCCCGTTTGAAGATGATGATTGATTAAAACTTGACTGTTTGACTGCTGTACAATTTTTCACGTTAGATGAAACAATAACAGTTTCATCATCATCACTTAAATAAATAACTAAAAGAAAAAAAAAGAAATTTTTACTACAAAACAATAACACATTAAGATGATGTGCACCTTCAGGTACAGCTGTTGATACTTTCATTTTTTTCATCATTCTATTGTTCATGGATTGACGTTGTAATTAACCACCATTGAATTGAAGCGGATTTACTCTCTATATAGTTAAATGAAAACAAAACGAAGCACTTTAAAATATTCAGTTATTCTAGTTTTAGAAAGGTTTTAGTGAATAAAATGTCTACCTTTCCAGTACAAAACGAATGTGCAAATTGAATGTTGTGTTTTCTTTTCTGATACTTGTTTATTTTTTGTAATTCCCGTTTTTGTCGTTATTTATATTTTTTCGTTTTGACATAGGCCATCTAAAAAAATAATCTCTGCATTTCAAATGCTTAAACAAAACGAATAAATAACTAATATAGTAAAGCAAATAAAAACGCAACGTTAAATTACATTCACTAGTATACAGCTGTAGACCCCACTTTATCCGTCTTAAACAATTAATGCTTCTGAAGAAGATTGAAAAACTTTGTAGAACGGGTGACACCCTATGCCAAACAAGATAGACTCGAAAAATGGGAGAAAACATGGAGTTGAAGCGTTAGATAACTGTTAGAGGAAGTCGTTCAACCACTTAATTCGTATTTATTAGCCACAACTTCCACAAAGATTATAAAATAAACTTACATGAGTATACAAAAAGCATCTGTTTTAACGCTTTCGTTTTTCTTCGAATTGATAAGATACATTAGACTGGAAGAATTATTCTCAATCTAAAAGGAAGACTCACAAGAAAGTTATCTCCTTAAAAATTCTCGTAACCAAAAGATACTATATCGGTTAGCGAAGGAACAGGACTTGGCTTAAACAAGAACAAAAGTCAGTAGAACAGTAGTGGCAAATCACTAAGCATTCATCATCCTCACAATAGTCTGGAATGTGATCTATCGAATACTTTCGTCGAGAACTGTAGTACCTTAACAGTCTTTAGAGCAGTCTACTGATTTTCAAATCAATTTTTGCATGTTTGTCTATTTAGAATACAATTGATTTACTTTTCTTTGCGCCAGAAGGACAAAGGCTTTATTCAAATTTAACGAATAATAATAGTTTTTAGTTTTACGGAGGCTAACATCCATCGTCAAGCAGAAAACAAAGAAAATTCCTTTTCTCAGGATCACAAGCCTACATGATCCGCAGAAAAAGACAGTTGAACATACTGACAACCTTCAGTTCAGTATACCATTCAAGAGTGAAGATGATTATAAAGCTTCCTTCGTGATAAGTGTCTATACACCTAATTTCAGGACTGACGGAACGATCAATTTAAATCGCTTTCATTCCAGACTGACCGACTCTAACAAAGTTGTTCTGCAAAACCTTGCCATATGGATCATTTGGATAAATTCTCTATTGGTGTAATTTTAACCATTCTTCGTTGGTGTGGTAGATGACTTGCACTGACACACTCTTTGCTGAATTCTCATCAAACCAAAATACACTTGAAGAAAAGTACCAACGTTTTAAGGCTCCTTTCATGTAAGAAGAATGATAATAATATAACAGTTTTTAAAAAAAGTGAGCATTTTATTTCGGAAATTAGGTTCCTTCAAGTTTTTGAATTTTTTTCACCGAAAACTTTGTTTGAGAAGGTTAAAATTGTGATATTCGTAATCAGCGTGCAAAAGTGTATCGAATGATGTGTAATACATCCAGAAATAAATTGATGTAACTTTTTTGAATTAGCGGGGTCTTACACTATTTATGTTATAGACAGAATGTGGACTATCTACACTATCAAAAAAAGTATCTTAATAAAGCACTTAAAAATATCTCCACAGTGTGTTTTGAAGGCACTTTAGGTGTATTTTCTCATCTTTTTACTGTTGTTAGCCTTAATGTTTTCGAAAAAACACCTCCAAGTCGTTGCTTTTCTAGAAAAAAATAACTTAGGTGCATTTGATAGACATCACTAATATATCAAAAACGCACAATGCACTAGCTACGGTCAAGACCTTTAATCACCCATCAGCCACGGATAAATCACGTAGTCATATTTAAGGCATTGAAAATGCTATGAGACTCTTGTTAGACTCTGAGTCATACTAGTGGCTACTCAAGCTACCTCTGGCAAAAACAAATCGATAGAGAAATATATTATATATATATATAAAATTACTAATTTTTTTAGTCAAAATTACTGCTTTGATGTAGAACAGCCGAGAAAAACAGCTGACCGTATGATTAATAACAGGTCATTTCTATATCATTTTCATGATGATGTTGAGAGTACACATCGAAAACTTGAAGCAAATGAAAGAATCATACGCATGAAGTCCTAAATTCTTTTTCACAGGTGCTCGCCCTACTTTTTTCAGCCTCACTTAGCCATTTATTTCTGTTATGATTTTAAAAACAGATTAATTTTAATAGCTTAGAGGATTATATATAGAGGAACTTCACTATATAGTTATAAGCTATCTATGATTTTATTTTTGAATCATCTAACAAACATTGTTCAATTAGATCCATTATTTTTGATGTCAACACAGATTTCTTTGTTTGGAGTTGTTCAATGACAGTAAAATGGTCGTCGTTTGACAATGTTTCAATTTCAGCATTATGGAAACCCAGATTTCGTAGTTTTGCACCAAATTTTTTATTTTGTTCATGAAACGAAGGTGGATCATACTCACCACAAATACATAGAATAGGTACATATTTAAGATCACTCCAGAATATTGAATCATATAACATGGGACTAAACGATTTTGCTTGTTCATTAGTCATTCTTAATGGTTCGTTAATATATGTATCAACTAACGGTTGTAAATCATAAACACCCGAAATAAGAAAGAATCCTCCAAATGTATCTTTAGGTATGCTATATTTCTCAAGCCAATTGATAGAAAGAAGTATTGCTGCTAAATGCGCACCCGCTGAGTGTCCGCAAACATAAACCCGAAATAAATGTTGTTTTGCCCAATTTAAAATTAATGAGAATGAAGTCTCGACGCAAGCGATTATTTGGTCCATTCTTGCCTGTGGAGCCAGTGGATAACCAACACTTATAACGATATAATTTTCATTACAAAAAGAACGTGCCATAAATGCACTTTCCGCTCTTGACAAGTACTGCCAATAGCCACCGTGAATATAAACAAATACAACTGGTTTTACGGCCCGTTTGGCAAATGAATTTTCCAGATTTAATGGATCACATGTTTTTGGTAAGTAGATATCAATGAAATGATCATTGAAATCACTGACTGGAATATTTAAAATACATCGCAGCTCTGTACGTGCTAAATCAGTTTCCTTCTTCAATGTTTGTGTATGCCAAACAATAATTTCATTAGCATCTTTGCTCCGATTTGACCAACGACTTGGTGAATAATCATAATCAACACCAGTTAGATTAGACATTATTGATCACAAAGGTAGCACCTAAAAAACAATAGTGTACAACACCATAACAACAGCATACTCTTTCTTAAATTCCGCTAGCCACGTTGGATTATATCTGCTTAACTTTTAACTGAAAAATGAATATTCTAGAAAAAGGTCAGATAATATCAAGCCTTAAGGAGTACTTTTATAAATGTAACAGGCTTGTTAGTTTGCGGAGAAGAATAGAACAATCAACGCGTTAAGTAAGAAAAAGATCGTTAAAAGTAGCTGAAAAACGTCGGACTGTTATGTAGTAAGAGCAAAATGCAAGTTCTTTAAGATCGTTATAATCTCATACATGCGGTTCGTTGAATCGATAGAGATCGACGAGCTGTACACAACGTATCCTATGGGACTCGACTTGTAACGCTGATAGCATGTTTCAAATGGATTAATCAATTCCTGAACATGACGGTTCCCGTCCTTGGGAGAAACCTCGGTGGCAGCAACTGAGCCAGGAGACAGTCAAATGAGAAAATTCGATATTGTCTGGAACTTGACCGAATCTAAATCATTTATTCATTGAATTGAGCATCACAAAAATTATTTTGAAGTGTATTATAGCGAATACACTTATCCGTTACACCATGTAACACCCGTTTCTAATTGCCAAAGATATCTTTCCACAAGACCTAATGATAGCAGATAAGTTATGCTGTAAGTATGTAACTATCGATTTACATATTTGAGCTAATTTTCTTTTCATATATACGGGAGCTAGCCGTTCTGATGTCAATACAAGCACATATAAAGACGATTGCCTCTCGACAAGAATCTTGTGAGATCGAAAAGAATTTTTACACACATCTATATATAGTATTGAGTTATATTACGTAACTTATATATAGCACGGGAATCAACAAAACAAATTAGTGATTTTGACGTCAACAAATCTTACCATTTCAGACAAGAATCTTTCACGAAAAAAGATGAAAAATCAATAAAAAATTAAACCAAGAATCTTGTCGCATCTATCAAGACAAATTTGAAGATTCTTTTCTGAAACGGCAAGAGACAAGAATCTTGCAACAATTAGGATAAGAAAGTCGACCAGTTAACTATATGAAACAAAGGGATATACTATGACTCTAGAGATCAAATCTTATATAGGATTCCTATAGGAATCTTATAGAATCAGATAAGAATCTTATACTACAGTCGATAGAAATGCATACTGTGCTTATAAGATTCTTATAGTCAAAAACATTCAAAATAAAAAAAACTTTTTTGTTGCCTAGACGACGAAGGCAAAGTTTTGAACTTTGAAATTTTTGAACATATTTATAAGGCACTATAAGATTACAAGAATCTTACACGAAAATTATAAAATTAAAATCTTACCGAAATCTTATTCAATTCTTATAAGATTCTCCCCTTCTGTCTATAAATTAGAGATGGGCATCGGGACCAAAAATAATTTTCTGGTCCCGGTAAAAGATTTGATTGCCGTTCCATCACCTTCACGGTTAAAATATCATTTGGCCGTGCATTTTGTAGAGAAATGTTTGCTCTTTCAGATTATATATTCTAAAATATTTCGCG